TATACAGTGGTACCTCTACTTACGAACTTAATCCGTTCCGTGACTCTGATTGCAAGTCGAGCTGATTGCAAATCGAAATAAATTTTCCCATAAGGTTCAATGTAATTACCGTTAATCCGTTCCGGCGTCCGCGGACCACACGTCAAGGGTGGAAAAATGGCTGCTGACCACGTGGAACGGGCGGAAAATGGCCGCGGACCATGTGGCACGGGTGGAAAAATGGCTGCAGAACACGTGGCACGGGCGGAAAAATGGCCACGGACCACGTGGAACGGGCGGAAAATGCCGCGGACGACGTGGAACGGGCAGAAAATGGCTTGTAAGTCGAGGCGAGGTCGTAAGGAGAGGGAAATTTTTGGGGCCGGAGCTGATCGTATCTCGAAAATTTCGTAAGTAGGGGCGTTCATAAGTAGAGGTACCACTGTATTTAGAACCAACATCTGACTGCAAAGGAAACATTCCAGGTTAAGGGATAAATAAGGCCACCTACTAGAGCTGAGGCTTCTTCTCTGATCTCCAGGCTGTTGGAGAGCTCCTAAGAAGCTTCAGCATATGCTCTATGCAGCTACTTGGGAATGTCTAGCATAGCCTTCCACAACTTGCTGCCCTCTAGAGATACTGAGGATGCAATATGGCTGGAGTTTTCATCTTAATATATCTAGAAGGCACCAAATTAGGAAACCACTGTCTAGTGCCACACTGGTCTTTGATCCAGAACCTTGTCCTGCTTTGGTCTCCTCATTCCCAATCTTCCTTCATCAATGAACATTGCTTATTGGCTGTTTTCTCTGAGCCTCTGCTTCTTGATCCTGTCCCCTATCTTCTTCCCGAAACTGCACTGTTTTCTGAATCCTCCAATGGACACGAAGCCTTTAGAGGCTCCTTGGTGGTAATTGTTTTTCTTGCCTGCAGCATTCAACCCCTACCTTGCTCTTCTTACCTCCCAAAAGGTACACAAGGAGCTTATCACTGCATATCTCTATGCTTCTTGACAGGCTGTGTATCCAGTTATAGATGACCTCTATAAAATCCAAAATAGTGGTGTGGCATATATAGGTCAGTATATTGAGGGAGGATCAGGAAATTCAATTTCCTCAAAGCTGACCACGGAAAGTCTTTTTCTAGTCAGAAACTTTCATGAGTGGTAGAAAAAGCAAGGCACTGTTAAAAGTGCACTTTCATTCTTTCTGATTTTATGAGTTTCTGGAGAGTTAGCAGGGATGAACAGTTGGAGACTGCACTGGGTTCCTCACCTCTTGTAATGATAACATAATGCTTGAAAATGGGTAACAGCAAAGGAAGCAACACTTAATGTCCTTAACTTTGTTCTTATATGAGCACCCAGAGAATGGCCACATTTATTACCATAGCAACAGTGACAGCATTGTGGAAAGATTGAAGGCAGGCGATCTTTTTCATCTTTTCTCAGAAGAAGCAAGCATTTGAACTAAAATTATTCAAAGAAATTATTTCCTGTACAATAAGGTAGTTGAACTTCAGTATTTGGTGCTAGATACAAGACAGAAGAGCTCATGCTTCTCAGTGCCCAAAGTTACAAGATTTGATTTCTCTCTCACAGTACAATAACATTCAGGAAGGGACAAGCTCTTCCTTGTATTTTACTGGTGCCTTAAGACTCTTAACTGGAGCTTGATTCAAAAGATGTATGCTTGGGATTAAAGAACTCTTGAGTCCAAGGATCTGCTCTGAATCTCAAAACAGTTTTTTCCCCACAAACATTTCTCTTAGTTAATCTCCCTCCAATTTTGTTTCAGTAATATTTGGTTGCTACCATTGTTTACCATGGTTAAATAATCAGGAATCAATCTGTGACAATCTATTTCTTCTCTCTCTCTCCCTCTCTCTCTCAACATAACACAACATAAAAACTAACACAAACTAAAACAGAATAAGGAAGAAAAGGAAGAAAAGGAAGAAAAGAACAAAGACAAAAGTGCAGAAAGAAAAGATAAAAAGAAATAGAAGCTTCCGATTTCCTTTGCAGCAAATATAAATTACAAAATTATCTCTTACTCTATGATTACAAAAAGCTCACTTTTTTCTATTATCCAGTTTTTTTTCCTGATCATCAAAACTACAAGTCATAAGTGCATTTTGTTTTGTTTCATGCAAGAAGTCTATAAGGGGTTTCCAGTCAGCCATAAATGTAGATATTGTTTTTCTTTACTCAAGGAAGTCAATTTAGCCATCTCTGCTAACTCCATGACAATCTATTTCTGATGACCAAGAATGTACTAGGTGATCCCAATTTACCTTCATTCCAATGTCTTTGTGTATGTATCTTATGATGGGTGTGGTGTGCAAGGAAAAAGAATGTGATGATAATTTGGTAAATACATTGCTATTGATTTGGATCTCGCAGCCGGAATTTGCATACACCCTTGAATGCAGTCTTTCCTTTGGAATCAGGCTCAAATTCAGTTGCCAGCTGACATGCGTAGAACAATCAAAAGGGCTCAGAGTTTCTATGATATAGCTAGTTCCCCCAGGTACTGGGGCTTTGCTGGTTAATGTTTTCTTATCAGCTGGACTTGTTATCTGTAACTTTGGACATTATGATTGAGATAGTTTATCTACACTGTTGTTTTTAACTTTGCATGCTGTCCAGAGTTACTGCTGTGAGATGGACAGCCATATCAATCAATCCATCAATCCATCAATCCATCAATCAATCAATCAATCAATCAAATAAATAAAAGTTAGCAAC